CAGGTGCATTTCGAGCGGCTAGCCTTGGCCGTGGGGTCGCCTACCGGGGGAATGAGGTCAATCGCCGTTCAATGCGTCCGCTACGACATATCAAAAACGTTTTTGTTGCATTTGTTTCGTCTAGAATTCCATGACGATACCTCATGGGATCGATCTTTTATTCTCGTCTTCGTCAATGCCTCTCCTGTCCCTCTTAAAACCGGCACCTAAAAGCTCGCCGTTCGTTACGATCCTGTCTCAGCCAGCTTTGTTGTCTGTCTGTTGTCTCTGTGTTGTCATTCATTTTCCAATAAACCGAATCGATTTCAACAGAATCATAATATTTACATTTGTGCAGGAAATAAATGTAATTAATCTGGCCTAACTGAATAGGTTCATAGATTTTGACAGCTGTGTTACGGGTAAGATTTGGTGTTCATCGGAGATCGTAATCGGAATGAGTATTCCGCTTCGTTAGCATACACCACTGTAGGAAGGCTCTCAGCTATAGTGATTAGCCTACGACATGCCCTCTATTCATCGCATTTGGACATCCTGCTACTTTGCCAAGCAAACTGGTAACCCAGGACGGCCGCGTAAGCGACAAGCTTGCGATCTGTGGTTAGCGTTGGTCCTTGTTCTCATCTCCAGTGAAACGCGTTTCAACATTTCGATTTCGAAATCCGGCCTATGTCGAACAGCGAATTTCTTCATAACGTCTGTTATCACGGCTTGCTCTTCGTAAAGCTTTTGTTCTCCGAATGACTTCCTCGATCGGCGCGGTCGATTCCGACTACGAATCGCATGCATTTCACTCTCACCTTCTTGAATCCAAACCTAGCGTTGTGCGTGTCATCGCGAATTTGGCCCACTTTGGGGCCTATTGATTACGGCCCTTTCACTGCCTATTCAACTGATTCAGCCTAACCATTCGGGAATGACATCATCGACCTATTCCATTTCATCGTTGTTATCCAATTAGAAGAGCCGCTCGCCGTGGGTGTTCCTTCCCAGATTGTTATCCTTAGATCGCTGTACGATGCGGAGCGTCTCTTAACATGTTATTCAATTAATTCCCGTTTTTGTTCAAGGGGGGTTTATACCGTACACACTGTTGATCAAGCAGGAAAGCTTAACATCGTAACCAATCCAGTCTTTCAGGAGCAAATCTTCGCGATCCTTTCACAATCCTCTCGGTGCCATTAGCAAAGGCTGGGTATTCATGAGCTGGACTAACTTTGAGTAGAATTGAATCTTTTCTATATATAGAGAAACTTGCGGAGGGGGCTATGCTTTGGAGTGGGAGCCTCATTTTGGTTGACTTCCCTGTTAGAACGGTTCCAGGGACTGAGCTAATGCACGGCTACTTCAAGATGACTACTGTAGAGGTTAATCTCTTCGGTTTATTCGGAAACGCCTGGCAACACTTCTTACGGTAGTTTCTACTGTATTCAACATTTCA